TGTAGTCCACGAAAGTTTATGCTCTAATAAATTTGTTAGTCTCTAAGGTGCCACAAGTACTCCTGTTCTTTTTGCGGATACAGACTAACACGGCTGCTACTCTGAAACCTGTCATTAAGAGAGCAACTCGTTCTTCTTGTGCAGGAAGCCATAACCAGACATGCCAATTGAGAAATCCTGTTTAACCCACCACAAATTCAAAGTACTGTCACAAATGCTCTAGGTACACACCATGTGACAGTACTTTGACTACCAATGCTAGATTAAGAGTAAAAACACAGATATCCGTAGCACGAAGCATTACAGAGAAGAGACTGCAGAGTGCAAAAAGCAGACCCTTCCCCCAGTTCTGCAACCAGAGACTTATGGCTGGAAGTGGATGTCTGTATCGCCACCTGCACTGAGTTATTATCATTCATACAGCACCAGAGGCATCATATGTAAGTGCCTCCTCAGCACTTGCCTCCACAGTAGAGGACCCGGAGGGGATAGTCTGCATCTGACCTGGCGTTGCTCCTTAGGTCTCCTTTGTAGTCAGGGACTGTGGACTCAGCTGTATCTGTTGCCATCTCACAAGCCTGCAGGCCACAAGAGGAAAGAATGTGTAGTTATGTTTTTGTTTTAAATTGCTGAAATATAGGAGGATGAAGAGTAAGTCATCTTCCCTAATGTGCCCATTTTACAGGACTCCCAGAGGCTCAGAGATTAAAGCTCATGTAGCTACAAGGATGCGGGGGGAGCAACAGGAAAGAGTGGAAAGGAACAAGAAACAACAGGAACATATGGGGAGATGGTCATGAGGTTGTGGGTGCACAGAGGATGAGATATAAGGAGGGGCATAGATACATAGCACATAAAGGAGGGGTGTGGAAGGGAAACATGCAGACTGGGGTGGGGTGAAGTGAGAGTGGGGTGTTGTGCCGTGACAGTCGAGATGAATGGTGGGTGCATTGAGGGGACTGTAGGTACATCAAGAGATTAAGTGGTTATAATTAGCATTAGAGGGATTGGGACAAATGTTGGGGTGCTTGTAGGAAACGAAGTGTCCAGGAATTGAGGGCATATGGGTGAGGGGGGCAGTGGAAAACAATGTGGGGCCTGGGCGTGTTGATTGAAATGTGGGACATGCCAGGGAGGGTGGAACAGACATAGTGTCCAGATGTCCTGATTTTATAGGGACAGTCCCGATATTCGGGGCTTTGTCTTATATAGGTGCCTATTACCCCCCACCCTGTCCCAATTTTTCACACTTGCTATCTGGTCACCCTAAGCAGACAGGATGAGATGGATGGGGGAGTGGAGTGGAAAGTGGTGGTGGGAGGAGTTTATACAGAGAAAAGATGGGAAGGGGGTAGAGGGTGAGGAGCATCTGAAGGGGCAAAGGTGCTGGGGGGTGATCAGAGGCATCTGAAGGGGAGGAGTGCCGGGGTGGGGTGAGAGAGTCAAGGTGGTGAGGGGTGTCTGATGGGGAGGGGTGCCGGTGGGGTCAGAGAGGTGAGGGGTGTCTGATGGGGAGGGGTGCC